CCTGAGATTTGATAATTCTTTTGGTAATATTGACAAACTGTTACCCAGTATACAATGGGGAACTCCAAACATTTCCTGGACCTCAAATCAAAAATACTTTTTCCTTTTTGGCCGTCACTTGAGCTGAAATTTTATAGTTTGTGAAAGAACTTTAAATATCTACCTCTGGTCATGAAAAAATTCAAATAGGTATATTCAACCTGATTCTTCCATCCGTTCTGAAACAGAATAAATATTATAATGAAAGTTTTTTTTTAGATAAACCAAAATTAGCTAAAGCTTATCTTCTAGAGGTTCTAAGTGGTAAAAGGAGAAAACTACAAGTAAACTATTTAACATCTAAAAGATAAAAATAAAGAGAAAACGGAACAATAAATGACTCTTAGTATAGCTTCACAAAATATCATCTACGGAATCGGCCGTACTTCACTCTGCAGATAATATTATTCCACTCAAAAGTTTTTTCTGACTATACATCAATGACATATTCTATGCTAGTATATTAAAATTTATTATTTTGAATATCTTTGTTTTGCTTAAGTAAATCGCGTAAATAATTGTTTCCCATAGTGGACGGTGGAAAGACTGAGGACGGCGGGTTGGGAGGGAGGCAAAAGCGGCAGTGTGTGTGTGTGCGGCAGGAAGGCATCAGGAAAACCTCTTGACTGCTATATATACTGTGGAATAAGGTCAACATCATATTTAGTAGAACGGGTCTTCAGTGCAGTCGCCTTGCTTTTTCTCCAAGCAAAGAAACGGAACTGAAAACTAGAAGCACTCAGGGAGCGCATACCTCAGCCAAGGCAATAGGATCACTGATGCAATTGAAATATATCCGCACCTGAAAAATTACATTAAAATTACTTCTTTCTCTAGTACACTGACGTCTGTAAACATGATTCAATAATTGATTAAATCATTTAAAAATTCCTGGATCCTGATTCAATGCTATCTAAGCTATGCCAAGACACACCTATGATAAAAATTTCGTAAAAAACTGTTCATACCTTTCTCGAGTTATCACTACCTGGAAGCCAACGAGGAGCAAATTTGAACACAAACCTCGAAAAATGAAACAAATCTTGAAACATGAAACTTGTAAACACTAGAGAGGAGTTCAAGTCGTGGAGGGCTCAGCCACGTTATATAATGTGATTTTTTTCCATTATTGTTTGTACCCTAATAATTGGAAAATTGTTTGATTATTGTTATTGTTATTATCATCATCATTATTGTTATGTTTATCATTATATGTATCATTATCTTTATTATAATCATCATCACTTTTATCAGTATCATTATTGTGATTATACTACTACTTATAAAATAATAATAATAGTAATAATTATGATGTTATTGTTATTAGTATTATCTTTATCATTATTATTATCAATATCACTGTATAATTACGTTCACAATTTAATCATTATTTTTATCGCTATTATTGTAATCATTATCGTTATAACAAATATTATTATTGTTATTATTTTATTATTACAATTCCCATTATTACTATTATTATCGTCATTATTCCTTATCATTATCATTGCCATCATTATTATTATTTATCCCATCACCACCGCCACCATTACCATCACCATCATCATTTTGAGCATCAGTATCATCATTAACAGGAACACTACGAAGCTAGTGATTATAATAAAACTAATGAAAAGGAAATAAAGAACAACATCAACAATAAATTGGCTGATATGCTTTTCTCTTTTAATTAACTCGCATTATCAGGCATTTTGTCAGACCTGGTTTTGACAATTGCCCGAATTCTGGAGCACATCGCCTACCGAGGTTGGAGTTCTTAGATGCTCGACTGTCTGTGTAGGCCAGTCAAGTATCTCCCCGCCTCTTTACGCCTGTTCTCTTTTTCTGATTTTTCCCCCAAGCGCAGAGCATATTTTTTCCTCGGCTGATTCACCCATCGCCGACTGCCGGCAGAAGCGGGAACCGTCTCGCTGAAGGTGAAGGTGAACCGCGGGAAGGTGTGGCAATAGGAGGTGAGGCCGTCTGTGATACAAGGGGGAAGGGGACAGGGAAGAACAGAATCTTGTGAATTATCTACGGAATGGAGAGATATCTAAATTGCAGAAGAATAAATCGAATAATAGATGGAATTTGAAAATGGCAGCGAATAGTAAGCATCTAGAGACGAAACCACAGAGCGCGTGGGCTGCACGTGATGAACATGTTTTTGCTCGGCCACGGGGAGGGATCCTGACACTGACCACGCTCCTGATTTTCCATAACAGATCACTAAAAAAAGAGGCGTTGCGGTGAAATGTTCGTCTCTTAACAAACATTTCTACCATAAACACGCACACAATCACAAATTCATACACCCACCCAACACACATATACAGTCTTTATATCTGGTGTGTGTGTGTATGCGTGTGTGTGTGTGCGTGTGTGCGTGCGTGCGTGCGTGTGTGTGTGTGTGTGTGTGTGTGTGTGTGTGTGTGTGTGTGTGTGTGTGTGTGTGTGCGTG